ACTGAGCCACCCAGGTGCCCCTCACGACCATTTATAAGCACTTACGCTGGCATTGTTCAGTACTTCCCACCCTTGACATGCTTTTGTCCCCAGGTGGCAGGTGGTTGGACTGAGGCCTGGACAACCCTCATAACCTGCCCATGGTCAGTAGGGGGCAAGGGAGGGGCAAGGCCAGGAGGCATCTGCGGATCCAGGAACTTCCTCCAAGGCCCCTGGCAAGCCCAGGGACAGGAGAGTGACCGAGCTGGCCCTTTGCATTACAGAGCACCTTTATGTGTCTCGTGTCCTCGGATCATCGTAACACACGGATGCACGGGTTCTATGATCGCTCGCACTTGGCAGGTGCAGGCCCGGCTGGGTGAGAAGGAGCTTCCTGGGGCTCACATCTAGAAGTTGGCAGAGCCAGGGCCTCTGGCTCGAGGAAGCACGAGGTCGTGGCTGCCCCTGGCAGCAGGGGCCCAGGCAGTACCCCAGAGCTGGAGGTGGCCTTTGGCGGGGGGGCCAGGGGCCGTGAGGGCAGGACCCCAGGGCTCAAGTAGCTGCCACCCATTGCCTACATGGTTTCTAGATCCCTGGGACTGGGGGGTTTGTTGGGCAGTTGCTCTACTCCCCCTGGCCCCCGCCACAGCCAGTGAGGTGGGCGGAGGGGCCCAGAGCACAGATCCCCCAGTGTCTGGGCCGGGATTATCCTGCAGACCCCACCTGTCACCGCATGTGTGGCCAACCAGGGCCACTGTGGATTGCCTGCCCTGTACCCCCCAGCAGGGACGCTTGGCTCCAGTCTGAGCAGCTGTCTCTAGTCCCCGCCCCTCAGTGTCCTCGGCCTCCATCTCTTGGGGTTTTCATCTGTGGAGCACAGGAGGCTCCTGCCATCTGGAAACTCCCAGAGGAGCACCGTTTCCACAGCCCAGGGACAGGCCCAGGGTCTGCAGGCCTCAGGAGGGTGGTCCTAGGGCCTGGCCCCCTGTTGCTCCCCCTGCCTGAGCCCCAGGACGCCGGGAGCTGGTGGCCCTGGGTTCCCACGTAGACCAGCAGGAGCCAAAGGGTCTGGTGCATCTTCAGCTGTCCCGGTGGTGGGGGGTGGAGCCTGTGGCCTGAGGAGAAGCTTGACCCTGCCTCTGCCTCCTTGCTGGTCCTCCTGGTGAGCCCTCAACACGCAGCCAAGCCCCTCGTGGAGTCATTTCCTCCAGCCTGCTGTGTCTGCGGCTCTGGGTCCCACGTCCTGCTTCCTGTGCTCTTTCTCGGGTCCCCGTAGCACGCGAGGCAGAGCTCTTCTGGCTGACGCGACCCTGTCCTCGTCCACAGGATGAAGCCGACACACACCATCGTCAACTGCTGGTTCTGCAACCAGGACACGGTCGTGCCGTACGGGAACCGCAACTGCTGGGACTGTCCGCACTGTGAGCAGTACAACGGCTTCCAGGAGGTGCGGGCCCAGGGAGCCGGGGTGGCAGGGTCACGCTGCTACAGGTGGAGGCTCGGGGTTCGCAGCCGGCTCTTTCTGGCTCCGAAGCCCCTTGCCTGCCTTGCGTCAGACCAGGCGTCGGCAGGCTCCCCGCGGGCCGTGCTCGGCCGCGACCGCCCAGCTCTGCCACGCCACCGGGCTCTGCTGCGGGAAGACTGCACGCACAAACCCAGGCGGCCAGCCCGCGGGGTGCAGGTTGGCGGGGTGGGGGGCAGGCTGCACTCTGGGGGCTCCACGTGAAGTCTCTTCGGAAGAAAAGCTCCCACCGCTGTGTGTAATGAGATCCGCCACCTCTCGTCTGGAGTGGCGCCGGCTGGGGCGTCTGCTCTCCCGTCGGCGTCGGTGGGGCTGGGCTCCCCCGCTGACTCCCCCCCCGCCCCCAGAACGGCGACTACAACAAGCCCATCCCCGCCCAGTACCTGGAGCACCTGAACCACGTGGTGAGCAGCGCGCCCCGCCCCCGCGCGCCCGCGCAGCCGCAGCAGTGGGTGAGCAGCCAGGTGCTGCTGTGCCGGAGGTGCAGCCACCACCAGACCACCAAGATCAAGCAGCTGGCCGCCTTCGCGCCGCGTGACGAGGTGAGGTGGGCGTGAGGCGGGGGAGGCGCGCACGGGGCCCCCTCCTCCCCCCGTGTGGCTGCAGCCGTCGGGGCTCCCGGCCTGGGCACCTCGTGGGGACCCCGGCGCCTGCCAGAGGGGTTTGTCCCCGTGCGGGGCTTGGGGGGGGTCCTTGGGCTCCCGCGCGGGCCCTGTCGGAGCCGTCGGCGTCCGTGTCCCTGGGTCAGTCTTGTCCACTGGCGGGGCAGGCGGTTTGCTCTGGAGTTGGCGGAGGACGCTCCCGGCTTCTGGGAGAGGAAACTAGGTCAGAGAGAGAGCACAAGCAGGGGGAGCGGCAGGCAGAGGGAGAAGCAGGCTCCGCTTCGCCGAGCAGCCCGGTGTTAGGAGCTCGCCTGCCCTGGGCCCGCCGCGGAGCCCAGCAGGCCTGGTTAGCTAGCATGGCCCAGCTGCCTGCCCCCCGCCAGGCCTCGCCCTGCCTGGGGGTTCGCTGACCACTGGAGAAGAGCCCACGTCTCCCACGGTTCTGCCGGCGGGAAGGAGTACAGCACGGAGCGGTGGCTGGGCAGGGGGGAGATGGGAAACCTGCATAAAGAAGGGAAGACGTGCAGTTTGGCAACCAGAGCAGTCGTTCTGGCATATTCGGTCCCAGGGAGAGACCAAACTGATAAGTCTCCTGGCCACTGCAGACTGCAATATTTGACTCCCCTGGGGAAGGGGAGGTATGTTGCTGCATCTCTGGAGGGAGGAGGGCTGAGACTCGAATCTGGGCTCTTTTCTGAAGCCCAAAGGACCCTCCAGCTCCCACGAAAGCCCTTGACTCTAGTGTTTTCTGGGCCCTTGGTCTTCGGGGGAGGGCAGGCCCTGCCTCTGGGTGGTTCTGTCTGCATCTAAGTAGCGTCAGCCTGGAGCTGTTTCTCCTGTGACTCACCTGCCTTCCCGGAGCCCAGGAGTGGAGCCTGAAGCAGGGCCCATGACCCAAGCCCCTGGCTTCCGGTGCCTCCCGTGCGGCCACAGAAGCTGGCTAGAGAGGCCCCTGTCGCCCGTGGGCCCCTGCCGTGTGCCGGCTTCTGGGCCGGGCCTGCCGCTCGGGCGCCGGCCTCACCGCAGGCAGTGGGCCGTCGGTCTGGCCGGGCACCGCCGGAAGCAGGTTCCAGCAGGGACGCCTTGCTCGGGGTCGCCCCCGAGGACGCTGAGCCGCTGTCGTGCCCCCACCCCCCGCAGGGCAGGTACGACGAAGAGATCGAGGTGTACCGCCACCACCTGGAGCAGATGTACAAGCTGTGTCGGCCCTGCCAGGCGGCCGTCGAATACTACATCAAGCACCAGAACCGCCAGCTGCGCGCCCTGCTGCTCAGCCACCAGTTCCGGCGCCGGGACGCCGACCAGACCCACACGCAGGTTGGAGCCGGGCCCCCCCGCTGCGTTCAGGGGCTCACACCCTTGAGTGGGGCAAGAAACCCCGTGCGTGGAGGGCAGCTCTTCAGAGCCGAGAGCCTTCCCAGGGGCCCCATCCCACCCTGTCCCCATCCCCACCTGTCCCCAGGCCCCTTCGTGTCCTCAGCCTGAGCAGGGATCCCAGGAAGAGTGGCTCAGGGTCGTGTTGCATTTGTGTTTGTGCTCTTGAGCGGGGGCTTGTCAGGGCCCTGCTGTACGTGGCTGCTGCCCCAACACCGGCATGTGTCCCCCACGGCACCCTTCGTGGTGGGTCTGCCCTTCGGCCCTGTGACCCCCGGGAGACCAAACTTGGGGAGTTAACTAACTTGCAGGGCGCCGCGCACCAGGATTTGAACCCGGGGCTATCTTGCTGAAAGTGTTTTTAATTATTATCACTATACTAGGTTGATGGAATGTTCTGGTTTAAAAACTCTAACGTGAAGCAGGTGCATTTAGAAGTAAAACCATCCACCACAAGGGCGCCTGGGTGGCTCGGTCGGTTAAGCGTCTGCCTTCTGCTCAGGTCATGATCCCAGGGTCCTGGGATCGAGCCCCACATCGGGCTCCTTTGCTCGGCGGGGGCCTGCTTCTCCCTCTCCCACTCCGCCTGCTTGTGCTCTCTCTCAAATAAATAAAATCTTTAAAATAAAAAAAAATTTAAAAAATTTAAAAAGGGCTTGTGGAGGGGTGGGTCTGGAGCATGTAGCTGCCCCTTGCTTCTCCCAAGGGGCCTACCCTGCTCCTGGCTGCTTCAGGCCTCCTCTCGCTCCAGCAGAGCCCAGGAGCTCGGCACGCAGGTAGCAGAAGCTGGGTGGACCCTTCTAGACCCTCCTGTCTGCCCACCTGCTGGGGCCCAGCCTTCCTCCCTCAGGCGGCCTGACCACGGCCCGTCTCACTCTTGCCTGTGTTACAGGGACAGGCTGTCTTACTACCTTAGACCTCGTCCACTACTCAGAGTGGTTTGTCCTACAGCCTCCCTGGGGTGGGGATTGTTGGCTTGAGGAGAAGGGGTTTGGAGGTGTCAGGAGGGGACCTGGGGGGGGCCTTTCCCTGGGCAAGAGCAGGACCAGTGCTAAGCTGGCTCAGAATAGAGAGACCCTAACACTCCTTTGTCGGGCCTGTTATAGGTACAGGTGGAGGCCGAGGTGGGTGCAGCCCTGGGAGGAGCAGCGCTGGTGGGGGGCTGACACTCGTGCCCAGCCCCCCAGTGCCCACTGGCCCATCCGCCGCTCCCGGGCCCTGGACCCTTTGAGGACTAGCCACATAGGAGCTGTGGGGAGGACTCGGTGGCCGGGGGACCCCCGCCCCGGACAGGGATTGCCACGGATGAGAGTAACAGGAGCCAGAGCGGCTGGCTGGCCCCGGGGACCAGAGCTCATGCCCCCGCCTCCCCTTCCCGCCCCCCGCTTCCAGGCCGGGCTCATTTCCTGAGCAGCGGAGCTGGAGGCTCGGAGTGGAAATGGTGGCTTCCTGGGGCAGGAGGGGCTCCGGGGGCTCCCTGGGGCCGAAGCCGCAGGTCCTGCTCGCCCGTGTGGGTCCCCAGGGCCAGCGCCTTTACCTCCTGCCTGGCTCGCCCCTGATGCTGAGGCTGCAGGTTCCTCTGCTTGGCTTCTCTCCAGAGGCCAGGCGTGGCCTGGTTTGGGGGGTAGAGGAGGCCCATGGTGAGGTTGGGGGCGCCCCGGGGGCAGGAGAGAGAGATCTCTCGGCCTGCACCATCACAGAGACACCTGCAAAGCAGGTACAAGTTAGCAAAGGGCAGGCCAAGTGCCCGCATCTCGGCGGGGTGGGTTTCCACGCCGCTCGCCCTGCCTGGCGCCGCTCCCACCGCTCTCTGCGCGGAGCCCAGGGAAGCTGTCCAAGGGCCTTGCGCCAACCACCTGCCAGGCTCAGCGCTTTCCTAAATGCCCTGGTTTGATCCTCTCGGCGGCCTCCGTTTGGGGCAAGGATTATCGTTATCCTCATTATTCCCAAAGCAGTGGAGGGTCCAGGAGGTGGGTGACTTTGCCCAGAGGCCACACTGCACAGCCATGATTGCCGTGCTGTGCGGCGGGGCCGTTTCTAGGCCTTGCTCTGGCCTCTTGCTGTTGACAAGATGCGGCGGTCCCTTGTCCATCACGAGGGCTTTGGCCTGAACCGGGGCAGGGAGTGTGCTGCTGTGGTTGCGGGGGGCGATGCAGGGTGCCCTCTGTACCCTGGGGCCCTTCCTTGCATATCCTCCTCTCCCCCAACCCCTTCCCAGCCTCACGACCATTTTTTTTTTTTTT